GAAGGGGAGGCAGAGCCAGGAGAATTCCCAGAAGCTCCCAGGCCAGCTAACCTAGTATATTCTGCAGTGAACAACAGCGAACAACTCTGTTTCAGACAAGGAAGGTGAGGACCAAGCCCTGACTTCCACACATATGCTGTGGTATGCACCTGTCCGCACAAACACGCACATACATGTGCAGTTTGAACAGAGCTCCCCTGCGTGGGTGGATAATGCTTGTTCCTGAAGCTGTAGGTAATTGCAGGAATATACTAGAAGTAGGTGTGACGAACCTACTTAGTTGTTGACCTGGAAAGCCGCAGAAGCCCCCAAAACAATACAGGCGATTGCCACTGCTCTTGGTCATGCACCAGATCTATATACTAAGACCCTGTTTCAGAAGATGCTATACACTTCGGTTTCAAGAAAAATTAAGCTAAAATTGAGCTTCCAGCTTCCTCTCTGCTGGCTAGCTTTCACGGTGCTGGAGTGGAGTCTGCAGGCTGCTGGGGTAGAGGAGTCATCAGTTGTCTTATCCAGTCGTGAACCCTGTCGGTATAATGCTGACCTGCCAGGCCAAAATGTGCCCAGTGATTCAATATTGGGGTAAGCAAGCGCTTTCTGATCAGATTTGAGGTCTGTACAAACCTAGTCAAAAGCCTGTGGATGTGGATGTGGAGGTCATAAACAGAGTCTGGGTGGAGAATCTACTACTGTTTTTTTGTTGTTGTTTGCCCTTTACGTTTTAGGCATGATTCCCTACGTAGCCTAGGCTGCCTTCCAATTCAAGATCGTCGTGCCTCTGCCTCCTGAGTGGCGGGATTTCCGGAGCTGTCATGTTACCTGGCTTCTGGTACCACTTTAAATAGATAAAACGGTGGTGTTTCCCCTGCTCTGTTTGTGAGTAAACTTTCCTAGGCACATGTAGAGAACAGAAAGCAGAGTAAGAGCCTTGGTTTCTAAGTCTTGGTGATGGATAGCGGAAGCAGATTTATGCAGAAGAGAATGCGTGTCATATTTAAGCAGTTTGACCTTGGACAACTTTTTTTTTTTTTTAACCTTCTCTGAATTTCAAAAGTCTCATCAGTAAAATTGAGATAAAATTACCTGCCTCCTGGGGTTGTTGAGTGAGATAGTTTTAAAAATCTGCCTCACACAGAAGTATTGAGTAAGTGTACCATCTTGATGGTAAGTAGAAAAAAAAAAGACAACTTAGCATATTGAACACATACTGAAGTTGGGATCTGATTCTAATTAATAAGTAGACTATTTGAATTTTGAGCTTCTGGGTTGCCTAGCAACCCAAATAACTCAATAGCACTGGCTACCATACTAGTTATTGTCTTTAATCAAAACAGTAATCGAATGTTCTGAAGAAGCTCGAGGTTGTAGGTAAAGGATTCCCCTTGAATATGGACTTGGTCCAAATGTTTGGGGAGAAGAAAAAAAGATTCCCCAACTCCTCAGTGTATTTGTGTTGAAGTATCTCAGAAGTTGGGCTCCTCCCTGAATCTGTGCCCTTAGGGCACCCGGAAGGTATTTCAACATCCTACATTAGGGATGGAATATCCCAGCATATTCAGCTAACATTCATTGAATGCCAGGGATCAGGCATACAATAGCATCTGTCTCTGCTGCTGCCCTTTAGACTTTCAGACCCCGGAGGAAGAATCAGTCAGCGTTAAATAGTACAGCAAATGGTTTCACGAGTGGCTGTCTGTGTTTCCAGAAGCACAACTGTTAGACTTGGAACGGTTAGATGTGAACTGAGCACTGCAAGCAGACAGAGCAGGTCTTAAACATCCACTGAGAGGTGTTTTTAGTTTCCTGGCAAACCTGTTCCCCAGCACTTTCATACTATCTGATTCAAAGATTTGCCTCCTGGCCAGAGTGAAGCTGGGCAGAGGGACATTGAGCTTCCACGCTGATGGCTGTAACTAGCCTGATGCCAGGGACTTGGCCAGGCTGTGCCCAGCTCCCCCATACCTGGTATGATTTAGATTCTGCCTCCCCCAGGCAGAGAGATAATATATGCAGTGCGAAGCAGACAAGCACAGTTCTGGGCTAATCTTCATCCCTGTGCCACCAGGGTTATGCCACCTGCCACTGAGCATCTTTTTGTCCTCTTACTCCTTTATAATTCACAGTCATAAAGATTTAAGAGGAAATCTGGTTAGACTTGGAGCAGTTAGATTTCTTGCTAGATCTTGTCTTCTCTGTTTATAGCTCAGAGGGCAAGATCAGTTACTGCTTGGGGAAGGTGTCCATTGGGCTGCTCGGCCATTTCAGCACTATTTTCACACAAAAATGACGAGGCCTGAGGGTCTGTGAGGCGGGCTGCTGGTGGATGAATCATGCTGGGCTCTCAGGGCGATGGTGACACATGGCAGAGGCCCTTTCCTGCCCATCACCTGCTCCTGTCAGTTCTTCTTCTTCTAATAAAGGACATCTGTTGTGGTGACTGGACAAAAACACACCACACTGCGTGTGGAGTAATTCAATCAGGGCAAGTCAGCATTCTTCAGCAGTCCCAGGCCTGAACACAGTCCCTCCCTCCTAGAACTCTGGATCCCAATTTCCAAATCAAACATTTAAGGATCCAATTCCCCTGTGCTCCCTTCTGAATCACCATGAACGTTTCATGTGGCCTTCCTCTTATTAGCAGCGTCTTAACATTTCATTGAGGATTATACATTTTTAAGGGAGTTCAAACCAAAGTTCATAGACCTACCAGCAACTCTTTTCATATTGGTTTTCGTGGCTGTGCTGAGTATCCTGAAGAATTGATTGGTTAAAATGCCCCAGTTTTAAAAGTAAAACAGCAGGAGAGTGACATTTGCAGGGCTGGTATTTGCAGTCCTCCTTGCATTTTTGAGAACTGCCCTTTGTTGTGACAGTCCAGTAGTACGGAATTCTGTGTGCTGTTTTTTTCCAAGAGGAGACACTGAGCATGCTCAGAAATGCTGGTCTGTTTGACTCCCGCGTCTCACAGATTGACTGTAATTAGGGATCTGCAAGATGCTTGAAATATCTTTTAAAACAAGTAAAAAAAAAAAAAAATTATATAGCTGTAAGTTATATACCTAAGCCATTTGTTCCTTCCCTCCCGCCCCCTTTCCTCTTTCTCTTCCTTTCTGATCCACCTGCAGGGCTCTCATTACTTGAGAAGAGGTTCATGGGTGAAGGGGGCCAACATCAGCAGGGCCTTCATTTCTAGTTCTGTTAGTGATGCCCTGGTCCTTCCCACTCAGTCAGACATGCTCATTCTGTGTGTGGACTTTTATTCTTTCCTTATGAGACCCTGGCTGTGCTTCATGATACTTTAACAGGTGTCCTGGAAGCCAGGGAACCCAGTGTCCACATTCAAGGTCTTTTCACGTTACTGTTCCTTAAGACTCAACCTAACTGATACTTCCGGGTTAGTGTTAGTGCTGAGGAAGTGGTATGCTGAATGATGCCTTGATCCTGGACGTCTGTCATTAAGCCCCATTCTCTCTAGGAGACCCAGGTCCCATGGTTGAAAGAGCAGAGAATATATAAACAGAGGAACAGACCCAATGAGATTGTTGACCATCTGGTAAATGTTTGAGTAACAGGAATTACTCTGTTTATTTATATGGATGTGATATATGGATGTGACTCACTGATACAAAAAATCATGCTCTCCTGTGCACCTTCTTAAGTTCTCTGAATCTAACTTATTAAACATTTTCACAGACTGTTCTGTATTCTTAAAGATCTCTCTCCTGAGCCTGTGTTTCCTGTGTTTATGACTTATTTGGGGGCCTTGTAGGGTCAAGCTTCAACCATTTTTCATGAAATACCATGGGATTGGACCCAGCACGGGGCAGTGGTACTGAAGTCCTGCTCTGCTTTGACTTGTAACTTGAAAACAAAACAGTCCTGGCTCCTCTGAGCTTCAAGTGTTTCATGTATAAGGTGAAAACACTGTAGCATCAGACAGTATTCCTCAAGAGAGGAGGATCTTGGAAGGTCCATGGATTCATCATAATTACACGTTCAAAATACACACCCCTGGGAGCCAACCTCAGCGATCTTGATTTAATATATATATGTGGGAAGGTCTGTGGCTTTCCCTTATTAGTCATTTGTGTCAACAGATTCTGAGTTATGCCCTACCGCTGCTATAGAGTAGCTGGCTGAGGAGTTAGCGACCCTGCATTCTAGTATTCTGTCTTTTCCTGTGATAAAACACTGAGTAAAACTAACCTGGGGAAGAGAGGGCCTATTGAATCTTACAGATTAGAAGCTATCATTGAGGGCTGTCAGGGCTGGGAGCTCAAGGTAGGAACCCAGAGGCAAGAACTGAGGCAGAGGCCATGGCGGAATGTTGGTATTGGCTTGCTCTCCATGGCTTACTGAGTTTGCTTTTTCATATAACTCAGGATCACCTGCCCAGGGCTGGCACTACCCAGGGTGGGGCTGGGTCCTTTTACATGAACCATTAACCAACAAAATGGCCCACAAACTTTCCTACAGCAGTCTGATGGAGGCATTCCCTCAATTAAGACTCCTTCTCAGGAGACTCTGCCTTGTGTCAAGTTGACAAAAACTAACCTGAACACCCTGAGGAATAAATAGCTAGCCAATTCTGATAAATATGCTCTTATTAGAAATTTAATTAATATTTGTGCCTAAAACATCCTGATTCCGTAACAGTGGGAAGACAATTTGCATAATTGATGTTGTTGATTCATTAAGTAAAGTACCATTCTATTCTTCTGGCTTAATTAGATCCTTTGTCCCTTTTTTTCTTTTATGCAGGAAATAGCAAAATCTTTGTGGACTTGGGCTGAATCAGGAGCCCAGATGAGCTTAAAGAAACTGGTGCTCAACCTTTAGTTTTTTGGCTCCATGCTCCCTAGACCTCTCCGTGCCAGCTCCAGTGTCTCCTGGCCTGTGAAGACTAAACGACATTCTGTGATGGGAAGGCGAAGGACTCGGTCATTGGCCTCGATGTCATCTAAAGTGAACTGACAAGGGAAGCAGTCGGTACAGCCATGGAAAAGAATTCAAGTTTATGGAACAGCCTGGTGGTCGAACACCCACTCTGCACAACCTGGAAGCAAGAGGCCGAAGGGGCCATTTACCACCTCGCCAGTATCTTATTTGTAGTAGGTTTCATGGGTGGCAGTGGATTCTTCGGGCTCCTTTATGTCTTCAGCTTGCTGGGCCTGGGTTTCCTCTGTACTGCGGTCTGGGCATGGGTAGACGTCTGTGCTGCTGACATATTTTCCTGGAATTTTGTGCTGTTCGTGATCTGCTTCATGCAGTTTGTTCACATTGCCTATCAAGTTCACAGCATAACCTTTGCCCGAGAATTCCAGGTGCTGTACAGCTCCCTGTTCAAGCCCCTCGGGATCCCTTTGCCCGTCTTCAGAATCATTGCTCTGAGCTCTGAGGTGGTCACTTTGGAAAAGGAGCACTGTTACTCCATGCAGGGGAAAACCTCCATTGATAGACTCTCCATGCTCGTCTCGGGAAGGTTTGTACCCTCTGCGCTGTGTGTCTTTCCTCCATAGTGGTTTTCTGTGCTTCCTTGCTCTTTTTTTTTTATTTTTTATTTTTTTATTTTTTTCTATGTTGGTATAGCATAGTCCTGGGTGGCATTTAGCACCCTGAGATTCGGGGCAATCTTTGAGACATGGCATAGGCGTGGCTATCTAAAGGACACGGGTCACGTGAATCAGGAAATAGTCTGGAGTCCCACGCTCTCATTGCAGAAATAAAATTCACAAGCTTTAAAATGGAGGCATAAAGTTAGTTGTGTGGAGGCAGTAGCAGTATCGTAGCTAGTCACTGAAAGTCAAAGAGGACGAGGCAGGTCGAATTGTGTGCCTTCACTGGCACACAAGGGATTTTGGGTAGACACTTCTAGCATTCTTCTACAAAACCAGGAACTTTTAATTTCATATTATTAAATTTATTCAGTAAATTCTACCATTTTCCCCCTCATGAGAAGTGGGAGTGAGTACTCCAAGAGTATACTTATATAGGATACAACCTGGAAAACTTTGAAGGGGCATGCAGCAATGTGTTTTTCATGTCTTTGAAAAGATTAGGGGCTGGAGAGATGGCTCAGTGGTAAAGAGCACCAGCTGCTGTTCCAGAGGACCAGGGTTCAATTCCCAGCACCCACATGGAAGCTCATAACTGGCTCTAACTCAGGGGATCCAACACCTTTACACAAACACACGTGTAGGCAAAACACCAACGCACAGGAAATAAAAATAAGTTATGTTGAACGAAAGGGAAAGACTGAACCTTTAACTCGTAGAGGTGCTTGTAGCAGACCTCCGCTGTGCTCTTAAACTCCCTCCTGGGCAATCAGAAAATCTGGGCACACTCAAGTCTCATGCCGAGGCGAGGCATGCATATGAAACAGACTCATCTCATACGTGTGCATCTCGATGAACTCTCGGTGAATTTCACTTACTCTTCCAGACTCCTAAGTGAGGAATGTCAGCACACAGATCTTATAGGGTACTACGGTGGTATAAAAATTTATTGTTTTGTTCTTCAAAACTCCACAGAGAAGTCGCCAGAGGCTGGAAGTATACCCCCACACACACAAACACAGAGAATGCCCCCAGATGTATACACACTTGCTTCTCAGCGAATAACAGATGTTCTTGTGTCTTGCTAGGATCAGAGTGACAGTTGATGGCGAATTTCTGCATTATATTTCCCCCTTTCAGTTCCTGGATTCTCCTGAGTGGGATTCGCTAAGACCCACAGAGGAAGGCATTTTTCAGGTAAGGGCTAATCCGGCCTCATGGGTAATGCCCCACCCTTCTACACAGACGCATGTTTGGTTTAGAGCAAGTGAGCACACACACAGAACAATATCTAACACTGCTTTAATTTATGTTTGACTTCGGGATACGGTTTGCTTCATGCCTGCTCCCCAAGCCTGAGTCCTGCTGACTGACATCAGTCACACAAGCAACCACAGAGAGAATGGGAATAGATGTGACAGGAGGATTCTGTGAGGAGAACTCTCTAGATTTCCCATGTTGAACCTCACATATGGGGATTAATATGTAAAGATTTGACTTTAAAAACTGCCAGTGTGATAGTTTAGGAAATGCCAAGAGAAAAAAAAAATATCGCACTTACCACAAAACAAATGGTTTTTCAAAACCGAAAATGCTGATGGGATTTGGTTATTTCTAAACTTGCTGTCATTTCTATCCTGTCATGTTTTGGTAGTATTAAAAGGCAATCATGTTACTTGGTTCTATTCATTACGCTCTACTGTTTCCTATAAACCAAAAGCACACATGTGTACGGAAATTCAAATTCATGTACATATGCCAAAGTGGTGTCAGTAAATCCCATTTTGTAAAAGAGAAACTGTGTTAGGGTTAAAAGTCCACACACCGTCTTCTTTGTATATTCCTTTCACATTAGCCAGCTTTACTCTTTCATTTTTTTGTATGAAATAGCTCTGCAAAATGCAAAACACAATCAAGAGGGGCATCCCATACAGCACTGTGATTAGATGAGAAGTAATAAATTTTAATATTTAATATCTTGTTTTTACAATATTTTTGTCTATCAGCTAAGGAGTTGTGTTTTGTTTTTTTTTTTTTTTTTTTTGCATAAAAGGACAGTAAGAAATTCATTTAAAAATTTGGGGCAGGAAAAAATGTGATTGAAGGTGCTGGAGAGATGGCTCAGTGGTTAAGAGCACTGGCTGCTCGTGCAGAGAACATGGGTTCAGTTCCCAGTACCCACATGGCAGCTCACAAACGTTTGAAACTCCTGTTCCAGGGGATCTGATGCCCTCTTCTGGCCTCTGTGGGCACTGCACACGTGTGCTGTACATACATACACTTATATACATAAAAATAAACATTTAAAAACTGTGTTTGAGTCCTCCCTCTTAATTAGTTTCTTTAGGTGTACAGATTTTAGTAGGTTTATCTTATATGTCTATGAGTGAGTATAGAAAGTGTGCATCTTTCTGCTTCTGGGTTAGCTCACTCAGGATGATCTTTTCCAGATCCCACTATTTACCTGCAAATTTCATGATTTCCTTGTTTTTTATTGCTAAGTAATATTATTCCACTGTGTAGATATACCACAATTTGTGCATCCATTCCTCCACTGAGGGGCATCTGGGCTGTTTCCAGCTTCTGGCTATTACAAATAAAGCTGCTACAAACATGGTTGAACAAATGTCCTTATTGTGTACTTGAGACTCTTTTGGATATATGCCTAGGAGTGGTATGGCTGGATCTTGAGGAAGCGCTATTCCTAGTTGTCTGAGAATGCGCCAGATTGTTTTCCAGAGTGGTTGTAAAAGTTTACATTCCCACCAGCAGTGGAGAAGGGTTCCCCTTTCTCCACAACCTTTCCAGCATGTGTTGTCTCTTGAGTTTTTGATCTTAGCCATTCTGATGGGTGTAAGGTCTTAGCGTCGTTTTGATTTGCATTTCCTGATGGCTAATGAGGTTGAGCATTTCTTCAAGTGTTTCTCTGCCATTCGATATTCCTCTATTGAGAATTTTCTGTTTAGCTCTGTACTCCATTTTTTAATTGGATTACTTGATTTTTTTGCTGTTTAAAAGGCTCTGCCCTGCAGACTATCAATGCAGATGCTGAGACTTATGGGCAACCTTTGGGCAGAGTGCAGGGAATCTTAGGAAAGAAGTGGGAAACAGTAAGATCTGGAGAGGACAGGAACTTCACTAGGAGAGCAACAGAACCAAAAAATCTGAGCACAGGAGTCTTTCCTGAGACTGATTCTCCAACCAAGGACTATGCATGGAGATAACCTAAGACTCATGCACAGATGTAGCCCATGGCAGTTCAGTATCCAAGTGGGTTCCATCGTAATAGGAACAGGGACTGTTTCTGACATGAACTGATTGGCCTGCTCTTTAATTACCTCCCCCTGAGGGGGAAGCAGCATTACCAGGCCACAGAAGAAGACAATGCAGCCACTCCTGATGAGACCTAATTGACTAGGGTCAGAAGGAAGGAAAAAAAGTCCTCCCCTATCAGTGGACTTGGGGAGGGGCATGCATGCAGAGGGTGGAAGAAGGGAGGGATTGGGAAGGGAGGAGGGTGGGAACCACAGAGGGGATACCAAGTGAACAAAGTGTAATTAATAAAGAATTAAAGAACAACAAAAACTGTGTTTGAATCCCTTGCTCTCTAGTTTTGTTTTATATGCCTCTTTATGTTTTTTAGGTAACCCTCACAGCAGAAACTGATTGTCGATATGTGTCTTGGAGGAGAAAAAAGTTATACCTTCTGTTTGCTCAGCATCGCTACATCTCCCGCCTGTTTTCGGTTTTAATTGGCAGTGACATTGCAGACAAGCTCTACGCCTTGAACGACAGGATCTATATAGGGAAAAAACATCACTATGATATTCGGTTACCCAACTACTATCAGATGTCAAGTCCGGACTTGTCCAAATCACCCCTAACAGAACAGTTTCAGAATTCCAGACAGCACTGTAACAAATGACTTCAAAACCTGAAGTTGGATGATTACTGGAAAAAAAAAAAAAAAAAAAGACTTCATCATTCCCTGGACAAGTCAGCACACTATTATTTTTATAACTTAAATTCAGAGTCAAGATGCCACTGCCAGCTGTTTGTTTCATTTTAACTTCTGCATTGCAAATAAAATTTACAAATTTTCTTGTATTCCTTGCTGTTATAAGTGGGCAGCTCGCCCCTTTTCCTGTATCAGAACTGAGAGAATGTCATTTTGAATTCTCTGATATTTTCTCAAACATGCTGCCTTGTACTGTTGGCCCAGGAGAAGCAGTTAGCAAATGTTCTCAGCATGAGAGCTCGTTGCTACAGTCCACAGACTCATTTCTGGAATCTGCTTGTTTGTGACAATCTCTGATGAATGTAAGTTCCATTGTTGGTGTGGGAAGCAATTGTTTCTTTTACATGTGAAGTTGTTCTTTCATGTGACTAAAAAGTAGAATAAATGTAAGAAACAATAACAAGCCAATTGGAAGCCTACTTTCTTGCTACAAACAAATCCTGAGCTTATGCTTTACAGTTACCACGAAAAGAGGCGACTCATAGAAAGCAAAACTGCATAATAACTACTATGTAAACAGGACACCCAAAAAACAGATAGTACAAATGCACATGGCCTTTGAGTTTCGTGTTCAGCTGTATGACAGGACAGGGGTGGCCTCACACTGTGCTCTCAGCCCTGTAAGAAGAGCTTAGGAAAGAGATACTCACCTGCAGAGCCGATCCCTATCTTTGGAAAGCTGTCTGTCTGAAGCTCGCATGCAGCGCTCCTCTGTGGAACCATCTGTTACAGATTTGACAAATGGGCTTTTTGCCCCGTGGCTCTGGGTTATAAACTGGGCCCTTATGATAGATATACCCAGTGATAGACAAGATTCATCCCTCATCCCCAGCTAACATCCTGGGGGGTAAAAGAGAAGATAAACTAGAAAAGCTTATAGATACAAAGTGATGGAGATGGGCTGAGGAGAGAGGGAAATCAGAGGAGGTGGATGGGGAGAGCTGAAGTGTGGATAGGATGATGGAGGAAGGTCTCAGCAAGAAGGCTATGCTTACCGAAGACCTGGAACAGGCAGGATTCTGTGCAGATATTGGGGAAGGGCAGTCTGGGCTAGGGGTAACCCATGAAGGCTCCTAGGCAGAGCATGGCTGGCAGGTCAGGATCAGTGGGAAAGCCAGCTCGGCTACAGCAACGTGAGCACGGAGAAAAAGAACTGTAGGGAGACTGGGTGGGGCTGGAATGGTCACAGAGGGAATTTGGACTTGTAGTCAGCAGCCACTGTGGAGTTTGAAATAGAATAGTGATGGTTCTGCCCTGTGATCAGTTGGCGGCCTGCTGAGGATAGGGGATGGGGTAATAGCGGATGAGGAAAATCAGGAGTCAGATGCCCTCTGAACCCCTAATGAGAGTCTGGGTTCAAGAGCAAGATCTGGTTAGAGATACAGCTCAGACATTCAGCAGTTCATGGTATCTGAACTCATGAGCCTGGAGGAGATGCCAAGTGAGTGAGAGTAGACCGGAATAAAAATGGCCCCAGGACCGTATCTGTGAGTGTTTCAATGAACAGGGGACAGGGACATCCGCAAGGGATATGAAGGAGCAGCCAATGAGGCCTCAAGGACAGCAAGGGAGTATGGCATTCCAGAAGCCAAGTGCAGAGACTTGTCCACACACTCATTTGTAGAGTCTGCTTGTGTGTGTCTGTGGGTGTGTGGGGAGGTATGTAAAAGAGAGAGAGAGAGAGTGAGAATCTCTGACAAATGTTATTGTTGGTGTAGGAAGCAATTATTTCCTTTACATGTGAAGTTCTCTGACATGACTAAAAAGTCAGAATAATTGTAAGAAACGATAGCATGCCAATTTAAAGCCTACCTTCTTGCTACAAACAAATCCTGGGCTTATGCTTTACAGTTACCATGAGAAACAGCAACTCATAGAAAGCAAAACTGCAGACCTACTGTCTTCTTCCCTGGTGCAACTTAAGGTGTTAAATTATCACCTAGTATTAATGTAGTAAAGACACAAAGACACAAATTTCTCCCAGAGCCACTGTGAGAAAGGAACAATGGAGTGCCTTCAATGTGGCTGAGAGGTTGGATGGCAGGAGGTCTGGAATGAATCACTGAACTGAGCAAAGAGGAACTATGCTGGCAAGCTTTACCTGGAAAGTTTCGGGTAGCGTGGTGTGAAAACAGACCGAAGGGGAATGGGAGGCCAGACACAGGGGCGGGAAAACCAGGCATGCTTTTCAAGCACTCCTGATCTGAAGAGAAACAGAAACAGTCAGTAGCCTGTGCAGGAAGTGGGACTGCGAAATGGTTATTGCTGATGAAGTGCAGGGAAAAAACATGGCACCTAAGTATGGAAATGGGAGAATCTCCAAGTGGGGGAGAGCTGCCTGGGTGCTGACCTTGGACAGGCAGGTGATGATGGGATCCAGAGTCCTTAAACAGGATCACGGCCACCATACACACACAGGAGGTAGAGCAGACCTCAAAGTAAAGCCAGGATCGTGGGAGAAGTGTGCAACACGCACAGAGATGCTTTCTGTGTCTGCATCTGCTATAAACGGGCCTTCACAGGTAGGTCTCTGTCACCAGTGTGAATGAGCTCTTGAGTAACTCAAATCCAGCATGAACTAAGTTTAACATGGGATGCTTCCTCTTCGGACATACGTGACCATACCAGTTGTTAAGCAAACAGACACTGTCAGCCACAGTGGCAGCTGTCCTCTGGTGTGGTCAGACCTTAGGGAAGCACCACTGGCTTTTTGGTGGGCTTCAGCATGGCTCTGGAAGCAATTCAGGTCTCTGTGTCTTTAAGACTCCATTGTTGCTCAGAAACAAATTCCCACCTGAAGTTAATACCGGGTGATAATGTAACACCTTGGGGTACACCAGGTAATTTAGCAGAAATTCATTAGCAGCTAAGTTTCTAACTATCTAAGTAACTGAGCATAAAGCCACATTGAGAGGCTCAGGTCACACCGCAGGAAGAAAAAGAGAAAGGTTTGTAGATGAGTTTTCCAGAAACCTGCCTTTAGGATAGGACACACATGCAAGGGGATGAAGGGCTGTTGTGGGAGAGAGGGACGAATGTGGGGAGCCTCACCATCTCCACTATCGAGAAGGGCTGGTACCAACTTTTGTACTAACAGACGTGTTGTGATCTAACACAGTAGTTTGTTTACAGGTTTTCTAAGCTGGTAAAAGGTAAAACCAGAAGACACCGCTGTGACCTCCTTGTAAGCACACTGTGTGTTTAGAAAGAAATGTCTAGAAAACTATATCTTACTATCTCAGAATATTCTAATCGGCCCAGATGGAAAGCAGAAATGGGTATCCAAGAAACTAGAGAAGGCCGCATGAATTGCCTTCCTGTGGTGCACTTAGAATTTTAATTTATATTAAAACTGGGCTTGTTTTCACCTGAGCCTAATCACTGCTACCCCCACATTCCCTGGGTTCTCTCATTGCTGAGAGTGAGGTAAGGAGAAACACAGTGTATGTTCTTGTGTGAAAAATGCTGTACAGCTTTGGGGAAAGGACCTGTATATTCACAGATAAATGGAACCCTTCTTCAAAACGCAGTAAGAATTTCAAAGAAATGTCAAAGACAAAGAAGAGGAGGAGAAGGAGGAGGAGAAAGAAATAAATTACACAAGTTTGGGGTACTTGCAAGCTAGGTACATGCCCAGGAAGCTGGCACTTGCCAAGTATTGCCCCTGCCTTTAAGGAATTAGTGTGGCTGCCTTATGGTTTTTCTGTCCTTAGTTTTGTGGTCAAGAGGGACTCTACAGAGTAGTGAGAGGGAAAAAGAGAGATGGTAGCACAAAATGAGCCCATAAACACCCACGCCGCGCTTGCCAGGAGAGCTCCTAAGGCTGCAGATCCGTCTTACAGCCCTTTACTTCACCCCAATTGTGCAGCCTCCCATTCCCTCAGAGCTATTCCCTGAGACTGATTCGAGCCTGCTTGCTCTTGACTTCACACCCTTAGAGAGCTGGCGCTGAAGATTACTCTGCTGTGAAGAAGAGCGGGCACTTCTCTGAGTACTGATGCCCTGGAGACATAGTCCTGCCTCTTCAGCGGAGAGCACAGGGAAAGTCACGAGCTGTCTCAGGGCGAGTGCAGGCTGTCCGACTTACACTGCAAACACCAGAAGGGCAGAACCAACTGGACAGAGCACAGAAGTGGCCCCCATTTATGCTTCCCACCGTTTTCACTTGTATTGAACCTTTTATTGATAGGTGTGGTGGGGGCTCAAGCCCATGATCCCAGCACTTGAGAGGCTGAGGCAGGAGAAACACAAGCTTGAGGCCAGCCTGGGCTACATAGTGAATTTCTAGGCAGCCTGGGCTGTGGAGTGAGATCTTGTCTGTGAAACAACACACACACACACACACACACACGGGTGGGAAGAGAGTGTTGGGGGAAGCTAGCACTACTTGGGGATATATCTCAGTGCTTGCCTAGGAAAGCCCAAAGTTCAATCCCCAGTATAAAAAAAAAAAAAGCACAAAATAAACAACAACAAAACCCTCCTGACTTTGCTAACAAAGGACATAAGACAAGCAAAGCATGACACAAGATGAGGGTTATGAGAAGCCTGGCTTGATCAAGGACATAAATTTGCATTCTAGACAGTGGCACTAGACAACGTTTTCTAGAGGGCTCCATGTTCCTACAGATTACGAATTGTTTAAAATCTTAGCTGGGTACAGTGGTGCATGCCTCTGCTTCCAGGATCCAGGAAACAGAACAGAAGCAGGCAGAGCTCCTTGAGTTTGAGGCCAGGCTGGTCTACATAGTAAGACCCTTTTTAAAAACAACAACAATCACACACACACACACACACACACACACACCCCTTCAGAAATAAAGCCCCAAAGTAATAATATTTTTATAAAATGATTTCTAAGCCCAATTAACTCTATTTTTAAATTCTATTAAAATGTAATACATGCATAAGCACAAATAAATATATATTTAATTTGATAGACCAAAATCATACAGTTATGAGAAGATGTGGAAAGATT